AGGCCCCGGGATCTCTGCGGGAAAGCTCTGCCGCAAGCAGGGCCTGTCCCGGGAGGGGCTGTGGTGTGCCCGGTTTACCGAGAGATAAACCGCGAGAGGTTTTGTGCGGGGAAGCTGCTAGCTCAGCTAGCTCAGCTCTAGTCTCCCCTTCCTTAACGCTCCCGGGCGTTCTCAGCTCGTGTTCTCTGAAGAGTCTGAAGGTGGTAGGAGAGCTGTTGTTCACGTGGCCCGTGAAGTAATACATGCCTATGGCAAGCAGTGGTGAAGTGAAATCGATCTGCAGAGGTGATAGAGCTCAGACCTGGAATTGAACCAGGTAGTTTATTTGTCAGGTTTAGATTCTGAACTCCTTAGGGCCAGGACTGTGTTACTGCATGTGGCATGTCTGACAAAATGGCTTGGTTTGAGGATCCAAGGAGCTGTAACATTTAACTATAACAAGTGGCAGAACTTGAGAGGTTTACCTACAAAGAACGTGTGGGTGATTTACTAGAACATAAAGCAGTTTGCTTTTTCCCATGATTGCGATCATGTTTTCTGGGTAGGATCTGTGTGGTCTGATAAGATTGAGCTCACGTTAAAGTTACTTCTTGACAAAGGATTAATAGGATTGTTGCTCTTCTTGGTCTCTTATTTTAATGATCCTTTAAGAATTAACGTTTCTTAGTGTTACATTTTAACAAATTTAGCTGGAAATGGCTGATAAATTCAAAAGTTGTAGGAGATAAGACTGTTGGAGTAGGATGGGTGGGGTAGGATTGCCTTATAATTGCATAAACTTTCTTTAAGAAAGCGTTCTGAAATACCTTTTTTACTTAAGGTAGAAACACTTGATGCTATTTACAGATTTTTAAATGAAAGTGTAGTTTATAACACCAGCTTTCAGAAAAAAAAAGTCATTGGTATGTTAAGCTGTGCAGAATATGAACTTTGTGTCTAAAGTTGAAGTATAAGAATAAATCAGCAGCATTCACATCTGTAGTCATAAAACAAGCATTCATGTGCAAAGAATCTGCTGATACCGCTGTATATACTGGTTTAAGTAACAGAGCACATAGCTTAACTCTTGTGTTGATTGTATTTGTTTAATAAGTGCATCAGTGTCAAAGCTGTTTGACTTTATTGCTTATCTTGCTCCATCCCCTCCAGGATCTGAGATCTGAATGCTGAGGTACTGAAGGAGGTCTGAATATGCATTAACATAATAAATGTGGCTTGCATGATGACACTGGAACATCTGATCAGGCGTACTTGACAGTAACAGAACTAAGGTTCTATTGAAATAAGCAATCTCCTGGAGATAATTATTTGCTGAATAGTATAATTAGCTGGCTGGAGGATTCTTTACAGAAAAAGTCTCTACTTACAAACAGAGGGAAAGTTTCTGTTTACAGAGTATTTTTCTTAGTAGGCTTCTATTTATAGGATATTTTGTCTGCAAATTAGAAGAGTGCTTTTATAATTGATCTTCAGCAACTTGCAGCAGAACGAGGTAGAACTTAAGTTTAGATTCTAAGAGCTCTGTCTGTGGAAACAAAAAGACAGGCAATCCCATTTTGAAGCTGCAGTGTACTCTTCTTAGTGTCGTGGAGTTGAATATAAGGAAAAGTGCGTCTTCCGAGTCTGGTTTAAATAAGAGACAGAAAGAGAAAAAAATGTCATTTTACTCTTGGCAAAGATCTTTTAAAGTGGTGACATGCTCCAGGAAAATACAAATGTTTTTCATACTGAGATAAAAAGTATTCCAGCTCCCTCAGTGAACCTAACACGCTTGTCTCAGAACAGGAATTTCTCTGACTCTAAACAGGGGTTAAGGATTTCCAGAAACATTACTGGAAGTCTTCTGGAAAGGAAGTCATAACTAGAGAAAAGACCATGCTTACAGTGAAAGACTTCTGTCTAACTGTGCATACTAATGCTCCAGGAAATTGCAGCATGAAAACTTTCACTGCTCTCAAGTTGTTCTAGTCCTTTAGTTGTAAATATGAGGTGTCAGGACAAGGCAAGTTTGCAGTCTTGCCCAGTCCCTTTATACCGGGGTTAATCAGCCTCTCGCTGTTTTCCGTACCAGTTTCTTCTTCGACATGTTAAATGATCACTGAGGGCATTGAAAATACACCCATGATTTCCTAATGCTTGCACTTAGGTTACTGCTGTTAAGCTATGGTTTGGTTTTCAGCATTGCCCCATGTTGACCTCTGCGTAGACAGCAGGATCTCACTGGGCTTGGAGTACCAAGGGCTCTCAGCTCTTTCTAAAGAGCTGCAGAAAAGGATGCAGACAGCAGCAGTAAGATGGCCGTATCTGTGAAACCACTGAAATCTGTCAGATTCTGTCTACTTAAATCTCTGTCACCTCATTTACTTGCCAGTGTTGGTGTCTAGCCATAGCTGCCCTAGAAAACACTACAGTTGATTCTCTATTAACTATAATTAATACTAAATGTCTACTTTTCCTCCAGGACTTGATGGATTTCTGTAGTATCCTCCAAGTCTAGGGGTTTATACTTTTGGAGACTGATGCTTGCAGAGGACAAGCTCAGAGATTTTTTTTGGCATTCCTTTCTCAGCTTCTTGCCTTTCCTCAACCTCTTAATCTTGTCCTACTCGGGAGAAGAAAGTAAAAATACTCCTAGTAGTGAAAGGAGATTGGGAAGTGAGCCTTGGGAAGTGTCTTAAGAGTGAGATAAGAACATGACAGAGATTTTCTGTTATTTGGGACTGCCATACATGAAAGAATACTTTTAAACTATGCTGCTTAGACCTCTTGAGTTCAAGAATTGGACAAAATGACATATTACCCTCTGCCAGTCGTTAAAAGTAGTAATGAAGGCATCACCTCTTCTCAGTACTAATTGTACTTCAGTGAACTACGCTTAAGGGGCAAACATCTTTTAAATCCTTCCATCACTCTAGGCCGTTGTGCGAAAAATTTTTTGTATCCATCTGAACTAATACATTCAAGTAATTTACGCAACAGACAGTTGGGACAGTACTGAAGTTATACAAAGCTGGATGAGCAACCAACTGTCAGTGCAGTAACATGTGAACTGTTGCATTGCTGGCTTTAGCTTCAAGTTCTCTACTTTGTCATGGGCTAGCTAGGCCGGACTGAAACTATGGTTTAAGTCCAGTTAAAAGCTCAGATGCAGATGAGAATTAAAGAACGCCCTGTGTTTCTGGCAAACACAAGGTATGGTATTCCCCCAGCACTGTAAATCATTGCTGTAGCTGACATGTCTGGTACTTCAAGTGTAATTGCCACAAGCCTTGATAGCCGAAGTTGTTAATGCTGCGTAAGAGGTTGGTATGCTCGTTGTCTCAAAGTTGTCATGATTTCACAGTGCTACAAGTTAGTCAATATGTGTTTGCTGAAGCTGTCATGTGGTGTGCTTTTCCTCCCAGAATCAGCTGATGTTTTTTCAAAAGGTTTCCATCTCCCTCATGGTGTTTTGTGGCTGCCTCTTACAGGTGAGCTCTTAAAATAGTTTCACTAAACAAATATGACTTGAATTACTCTTGGGCAACTGTGTGTTCTCTCTGTGCAGTCCAGCTTACCAGATACAAGTCAATAGGGCAGTTGCACATTATCCATTTGACCCATACGTTCAGTCTGTCAGGCTTCTATTTCGCATATTATGGGATTTTATGTCTGGTCACAAAACCACAAAATGACTGAGGTTGGCTGGGACCTCTGGAGGTCATCTTGTCCACCACTTCCCCCTGCTCAAGTAGGGCCACCTACAGATGGTTGCCCAAGACCATGTCCAGGTGGCTTTTCAATATCTCCAAGGATGGAGACTGCACAACCTCCCTGGGCAATCTGTGCCAGTGCTCAGTCACCCTCACAGTGAAAAAGTGCTTCCTAATGTTTAGAGGTAATCTCCTGTGTTTCAGTTTGTGCCCATTGCCTCTGGTCCTGTCACTGGGCACCACTGAGAAGAGCCTGGTTCTGTCCTCTTTGCACCCTCCCTTTAGATGTGTGTATGTATATATATATATATACACACACATTTTTATATGTATAGGTCCTTTTTCTGCAAAGCTGCTTTCTAGCTGGCTAGACCCCAGCTTGTGTGGTGCCTGTAAGTTGTTCCTCCCCAGGTGCAGGACTTTGCACTTCCCCTGTTGAACCTCACAAGGTTCCTGTCAGCCCATTTCTCCAGCCTGTGATTCTATGTGGAATAAGATTATTGTTCTGGAGGTTGATTCTGCATGCAAAAAGATGTTAACAAGGAACCACTGAAGTTGTTTGGCTGTGGCTAAAAGGGAGATCATTTGGTAGATCATTGTGGTCTCAGATCTTGAGGCTGATTCTGTTCTTAGTTTTGTAGGACAGTTCTCGGCATCGAGTGGTTGAGTCCCCATCCCTGGAGGTATTGAAAAGATGGGCAGACAAGGTCCTTAGGGACACGGTTTAGTGGTGGGATGGCAGCGTTAGTCAGCGGTTGGACTGGATGATCTTAAAAGGTCTTTTCCAACCTAAACGATTCTATGGTTCTATTCTATGATTCTGTGATCTCAAATCAATTGGACAATACCACTGCGTCGTTCAAAGCTTGCAAACTGAAGTGTAACTTCACAGCAATGTCAGTTGGGCAATTGTCTTTAGTCTTGATCTTACATTTGGCTAGCAGCTTGTCCAAGACATTGGTGGATTTTTTGCATGGGAGGTGATTTGTTGCATCAACAGCTGTCAACATTAAACAGATTTTGAAGCATTTCTGCCCTATATATTTGCATTTATGAGTCTTAAATGCATGTGCTGGATTTCCATTTAAGTATGTAAGGTGGTACGAACGTTCTATCCCTATATTCAAGCAACAGCAAGAATCAGGTGACAGGGTGCAAATACAGTTGCACACAGTCTT